CAAAAGTTCTGCTCACGTGCACTTCCATATGCAAATACATCAGCCAGTCATTAAATTAATTAAAAAGAGCTCTTTCTGTGAAATGACTGTGTGAAAAGTTTGCATTTGCACCTGGACTCTAGTATTTACTGAACCATCTCGAAAGCAGTCATTAAATAGGAGGGATTGCGGAAAAATCTTAGACATATATCCGATTTATAAGCCTTTGAATAAGCCTAGTTACACAGTAATACATCTTTGCACTTTAGAGTCTTATAAGCCAGAGATTAAGTAGAGTCTTGAACAGGTTAAGAGTCAGTAAAGACGGTGCTTTGTTTTAAATAGAAAACTTGAAACACTTTAGTATTCATATTTATTATTATTTTTTTTTTTTTTTTTTTAAAGCTATTATCTATACACACATTATCATAAAAGATGAAGTTATATTGTTACAAAAATCTAAAGCAGAAACATCCATTGAAACATCCATAACTAGACACCTTATCCAGCTTTACCTGTAACCTATTTGCTTAATTGCTTAATTACAGTTTATCGAATGGCAAACTGCGTTTGTTAGTTAGGTAAACACTGAGGGGTAAGTATAAATGTAGCTTCTATGCACTATATTTATATGGATAAATGTATGTACATATATATAATTCCTAATAAACGATAATTACTAATGTATAAAGTCGAAACAGTATGAGGCGTTGCTGATAAAACTTTGTTGCCACATATAGCACCCCAAATAGGTTAGATAAAAATCTTTACCAGCAAAGAGGAAATCTTAAATGGTTCCCCAAAGATGTGTGCTAAGAACAACCCTTAGATTTCCTTCCATGATATATACCCCACAATTTTTGGGGAGAGTTCAACGAACTTGGTTAGAGACCCCCAAAGGAATAGCTCCCCAACAGAGTCCAGAATCGAATGAGAAGGCGGTTCCAACCACATGTCACGAGGGGAACCATAAACTCGGGCATAAGATTTACTAATAACAATGATATAAGGCATTTGCCCCGAAATGAGTATATAATAAAGCTAATGGAAAATTATTGGAGACCAGAAGACTTTCAGGGAGTGACAGCATATAGATTTTCCCCGAAATACACACATTACATAAGCCACAGGATAATTAATGGGATGCCATTTGATTATACTCATCTCAGGCAGAAATTCCTCGATTTTCAAATTGATTAAATTTCACACTGAAAAATTATAACATCAAGTGTTGAATTTACGGCGTTTGCCATTTACCGCTATCACTCGAAATGGCCGGAATTCCATTCCGGCTGCCAATGTTTATTACCTGCACACACATATTGGAGAACTAAACCTTTTCGGTGAAATGGGCAAAACTTAATGGTCTATTAAGGTGTTGGGGTCCCGGCGATTTAAATGCAATTAAATGTAGGGTCTTCCCCCTTCAATTAAAATAAATGAAACGGCCGAAAAAGAGAGTGGCTCGTAAAAATGATAAAACGCATTAAAATGGGTCATCAATAAATGCCCTCCGTCTGACATTTATTTATGAACGTTAATAACTTTTAAAGCATTTCATTTAACTCAAATACAAATGGCCAACACCGACGACGACATTTAAAGGGTTTCGGGTTCGGGTTCGGGGACATTCTGACATGTTTTAGCGGTTCTTTGGCATACACACACCCATACACACGGTGGAACACACAAAATGTCAACTTTTTGCCAACCGAAAATTGTCAAATGCACAGAATTTTAAGCGCCATACATTTATGTTGATGCGGTTTAAAAGTTTTTTAATTACATTTGCAGGAGACCCGGCAGCCACCCGCCAAAATAAAACAAGTAAAACACCAACCCACGATGGGTGGACCCATAAAGCACACACCCGCGCCATTCGGAGAGTATATTTTACGCTTTATGATTGTATTTGGCTGTGAAAATGTTTAAAACTCATTTAATTTGAAACAAATTAGAAACGATAACACACAAAAGTGAGTTGTTCCCTTTGCCTCGTCGGGGGAAGCTGCTATTTTGACACTAATGGCTTTTGGTTTGAGACAAATATTGGCAACTGCAGTTGAAGTGTTTTGGCGTAAATAGATTTACTTAGTTTATTGGCCACTTAATTAAGCACTAAAAGTAGTTTTTAAAAAGTATTTAAGCTGCTTAAAATAGAATGGTGGAACTGCGAGGAATTAGTTTATAAAATGGAGTTTTAAATGATGTCAAAATGAAGTAAACACATTTATCAAGTTACTAATATCTAAGGACATACATAAGATAATATCGTTACTTCGATACTTTATCGGTATTTGTCGGGAAAGTCGATATATAATTTGATATTCGATATCTTTCCCATTCTCTTTATTTATAATTATTTATGAAATTAAATTCCTTTCATCACAAATCCATATTAATTCTTTCTACAACAAATCTTTATAAACAGTAGCATAAAATATATTATTTTGGGTTCAAAAAGCTTTGTACTTTGTTGCTTTAATTACTTTGGGGTTTTCGCAACGATCATTAACTGATGACATGCCTAAACCGTTCATCCCATTTCATCTCGTATGTATGTGTACATTAACCCATTAAATTCCTGCCTTTGCATAAAGCCCACATATACCACCACCAGCTCGCCCGCTTGTCACTCGCTTGTCAATCATCCATCAAAGCCCCAAAGGAGGAGGCCATCAGTGCTGTGAAAACTCGGGCCTACTTACAGTGGCTCACAGCTTATTTCGTGCAGAGGTAAACTTGAAATTCAAACTTGTATATCTGACAAACTATAGGAGATATGAAAAAAATTTAAACGCAGTTATGTTTAGTAGGGCTTAAGCATTTATTTAAGCCCTTGATTGTTTTTCAATTCCACTAGATAACGATAAAAACTTTAAAAAACGAAAAATATTGGTTATTTTTATGTCACAGCTTATTTCGTGCAAGAAAGTTTATCTTAAATATTTCGGTTTTGCTTAAACTTACAATTTTTTTGTGTCTTAACTTTATTTGATGACGTCCTCTAAAAGAGTTTTAATTAAAGAAATCAACTTTTCTGAGGACTCCTTTGGAATCTTGGACCATTCTTCCAAGGGGGCTGTTTTGAGACCATTTTTATAAGATATCGACCTCTTGCGGATGTCCAGATCCAGAATCGCCCACAAAATCTTAAGGACGATAAGGTCTGGTGACTGGGCAAGTGGATTCACCACATTAGGGCAGTTCCATATCAACCTGGTCTGCACAAGAGTCGATTTTTGCTTTGGGTCATTGTCATGGTAATGTCAGAAAATCCGCTTTGGGCCCAATATATCGGCGATCTGGAGCAAGTTATCCTTCCAAAGTTGAAGGTACATATTCTAGCCATATTTCCCTCGATAAAAACCAGGTTTTCAACATCGGTTGCCGCCATACACGCCCAAACCATGCGAGTACCACTACCATGCTTGGCTGTAGGGGATCGGTTCTTGTGGTGAAGCTCTGAATTTGATTGTTTTCAAACATATTGGTCTCGGTCCGACCTCATAAATATTGAATTTGGTCTCGTCTATGAAAATTAATTCATTCCAGAACGAAATCGAATGAAATTATGTGATCCTTGGCCAATTTAAGCCTGCACTTCGGATTTGTATTGGTTTCGAAAGGCTTTTTCCGGGTTACTCGGCCTTTAAAGATGTCTTCCCGTTATAAACGGCGGACGGTTTCCACGGAATACTTTTAGGCCATTTCATGCCCAACATTTACTATTAGTTTTGTCGCCAAATTTTTTGAATTAACATTAATTTTCCGGATAATTCACCTTTCCTCAAGCTTAATAAAAATTTGGTTAGGAGCATTTCGGCCAATATCTGCCTCACGATTTTCCCGATTGAAGCTTGGGATGATTTACTGAACAGCACTTAGGGTAAGGTTAATTATTTAAGTAATATTTCGCCAAGTTTTTGCATTTTTAAAATGATTAAGGACCAATTCCCGCAGTTCGATAGTCGTGCGGAGCGCATTTTGTTAATTCACAGAAAACTGTATTTTCCTGTGATATGAAAAGCATCGGAGGGATAAATAAATTAGCTGATATCGCCTCCAATGAGTTACAAAAAAAATTAGCTAATTTAAAATAACAATTTACAAGTTATATGTACCCAACGTTTTTGCACGAAATAAGCTGTGACATAAAAATAACCAATATTTTTCGTTTTTTAAAGTTTTTTTCGTTATCTTGTGGAATTGAAAAATAATTAAGGGCTTAAATAAACGCTTAAGCCCTACTTAACATAACTGCGTTAAAATTTTTTTCATATCACCTATAGTTTTTCAGATATACAACTTTGAATTTCAAGTTTACCTCTGCACGAAATAAGCTGTGAGCCACTGTATCTGCGCATCGAATGCTCGCAGAAACAGAAACTAATTGCCAAAGCGCCTTGATGCCTGTGTAAGCACTGGGGATTATGTAAAGACAGAGCCAAAGTGTAAGCCTATCTCTAACCCTGAATCATAAAAATGTTTAGACAACCAGCACGGACGGGGAGGGGTGGTGGTGCTGGTGGGTCATCATCATTCATTTGGCCCAAGTAAATATGGCCAGGCCGAGCGGCGAGTGAATGTTATCAGCTCCCAGGGATCTAATGTGACCCGAATTTCAGGAGCCGAGGCCGCTGGAATCCCTGCTGACTTAGGCAGGACGATGGCAGTTTAAAGCTCAGCGAAAATTATTAATAAACTGGCAGGCCAAGCCTTCTTGCCTGATAGATATCTCAGAAACTAATGCCAACTACAAAACAGCCAGTCAGCAATGTGAGTTGTTGGTTTCTCCACGTGAAAGGGAACACCATTTTGGGAAACGAAACCAAAGTCTGGTATGGATACTAAAAGGTTCTTAGCAGCTTTAGAGCACCAACAGGAGCAAGCTACTATTGCTGACAAGACTTTCTTGACATTGAGAAGAACTCGTCAGTGAATTTAATATTTGTTTCAATAAAAAAATACAAGTTTTTCCAATCAAGCAATCCTTGCCTTTAGCTTTCCCAATCAACTCTTTCACATGTTTTCCTATTCATTCAACAACTAACCTCGACCCAGTCAAAACCATTTTTCGGAGTGAAATTTTAGTAAAAATTGTTTATTTCGGTTAAAATTCAAATAAAAACCCACTTTAAAACATGGCCAATTTTAAAAATTCGCTCGAGATCAATCGCCTAGTGAACCTGCTCAAGGCGAGCCGAGGAATGACCAGCTCTGGCAGGCTTCCGATCTTTGATGTGGAGACCCGCAAGGACTTTATGCAGCGGGTGATCAATAGCGACCGCCCCGTGGTGGTGGACTTTCATGCCAGGTAAGTTCCGCTTGACATCTGTTGGGAGTCTAGCGCTGAAGGGTGGTTCTTCCCCCCTTGACTGACTCCTCCTCCCAGCTGGTGCTGTCCCTGCAAGGCTCTGGCCCCGCGCTTGGAGAACATTGTGTCCGAGCAAGAGGGCCGTGTGAGGCTGGCCCGCGTGGACATCGATGAGCTTGGGGATCTGGCCCTAGACTATAACGTAGGATCCGTGCCTTCGTTGATGGTCATCAACAAGGGAAAGGTGGTCAACCGCATGGTTGGCCTGCAGACCAGCGAATACATTCGCAAGTGGCTTGGCAAGGTGGTCAAGTCTGTGAAGGCCTCTGAGGAATATTATGACTAGATCGGTATATGTCATCTTGTGTGGGAGCGAGATATTGAATCATGTTTTGGAAATTCGTATTTGTATTTTAATTTGGCATTTAAAATACACAGCTAGTAATTATACTATATATTTAATGCAGAATTTTCTCTTGGTGTGCCGCTTCTCCCAGTAGCGGCAATTCAAAATGCAAACAAAGTCTCGTCTCGTGCTCAAACAATTTGTCTATCGCTGCCAGTGGGAACAATATGTGTGTTTCCCAATTGTTTGCGTATTTGTTTGCCAAAAACAACAAACTGCGAGTGTGTGTGTGGTGTGTGTGCACTTGTTGTGTATCCTGCTCTTCTTGCCATCATCCTAGGCGATGGCAATGCTTGGGGGAATGTCTCTAATTGATTTTGGTAATGTTGCTTTTTAATGAAGTGTCAAATGTACGGCTGCCTGCGATGATGCATGTGGTGTCGACTCCCACAGGAGCCCAAAAGAAACACAATTAATGCCGTCTACAGTGTACTGTGTCTACTGTGAGTGGTAAATTAATTATAGACTTGCATATAAAACTGGCTAGACCCTATAGAAATTGACTTATCCCCTTTTAAAATCTGAAAAATTACGTTTTAAATTTACGTAAAAAGAGTTGCTGCCAAGTTGTTTATTTTTGGAGCGTAGATAAACCTATCAATAAATTTTTAACAGATAATCTATAAATACCCTATGCCACGTTCTAGGAAATTGTAAACCCCCTTCCGCAGGAAACGCTTTCTACGATCACCGTAGTCACCAAGGCCCATTAGCTCAGTTGGTTAGAGCGTCGTGCTAATAACGCGAAGGTCGCGGGTTCGATCCCCTCATGGGCCACAAGTATTTTTTATTTTTTATTCACTTAATGTATATTCCTTTCGTAAAATATTTATTTTTTTGATCAAACGAAATAACTTTCCACAATTAAAATCGTAAAGTAAAAGTATTGACAATGCGCCAGCGTAAGCTGGGTAGTTTGTTTGCTGTGGACCCACAAAATAGATTTGCCGCAATGTAATTGAGTATTTGTATTCAATTAAGACTTATTTCAATATTTGCATAAATGCTACAGCGCCAGACAACCAGCAGACAGGACGAACGAGCGACGAGTCCAGTCGAGTTGAGTTGAGTCGAGTGGAGTGCAGTCCAGTAGTCCTCGAGCGGATATAAATCCCTCATATGTTCGGGCATAATTTGCTGAAACGGAACTTGGACAAACAGGGCGGCATGCTGGGCAGGGCAGGAGGACTCTTTTCAGCGTGGTCCGCACACACAAGCCCGGCATCCAAATCTCTGGACCAGTGAGGTGTGGGCGCCATGTGTGTGCACACTGTCTGATTTTGACAGCCCGCATAAAGCGAGCAAAGGACTCTCTTCTGGCGACACGACGTGTCCTCGCTGCCAAGGTAAACACTCTGGGGAAAGGGCCAGCTAAATGCATTACCCTCCGCATCCCCTCTTACCTTTTGCTCTGCTGAAATGGCGACAAAAACTGCAACAAATATTAATTTTTATTATGCAAACATTGCTTTAATTACATTATTTTTGCGTACACGCCCGCCAAACAAACTTTTCCCCCACTTCACTTGTGCGTGTGTGTGTGGCCAGCTCTTCAGCTTTCCACCTCCATCCTCCTCGCTCTGATCAATCACTGGAAAATTGGATTTTCATATGTGCAGCACTTTGTGTCCTGCTCCTGCTGTCTTCCCTCTCTCCGCGCAGTATATGCAATTTCCGAAACCTACCGTTGCCTTGTGGCGGCAAAAATCAATCGATGCCCCTTCCTGTGCCAATCGTTTGACAAGCACAAACACAAACTTAATCAGTACCCATGGATTGGTCAATAATTTTTAAATACAAATCAAGTGTTAACTGGGGTCTTAATTGTGGGTTGGCCGCCCCCAAGCCAGAACACGAAAAAAAACACGGATTTTCACCTGTGGAAATCGGCTTGTGTGCGAGTTTTTATGGAAGTAAAGTTAAATTTTTACCAACGACAGAATGGCTGATGGAAAAAATGTACCTTTATTTAAATTCTGATTTTGTGTTACACTTTTAAGAAGCAGTTATCTGATGATTTTAAATTTTAAAGGTATATATAAGGTGGGAATTTGTGTATCCCATAAGGATCCCCTTGTAATCTTTAATGGCAATCCCCTTAATTGTAAAATTGCTGAACTTGTGGTGTATACATATTTACTAACAGCTTAAGTGCAAGCCGAACGGGAGTAAAAATCGAAGCTCGGAGAAACCGCAAATGACCCCCCAAAAACACTGACAACGTGGGATTTTAACACTCGCCAGCTGACTGCGTCAAACTCAATTCAGCCGGAACCCTTTTTGCTGTCTCAATAGGAAAAGCGCCGGGAAAGGAGGAAATGTGTCCGGTTCGTATAGATATTTTTTTCTTTCTTCTGTTTGCTCCCCCTTTGGCTTCTATCGAATATACGTCGGATGCCGGGCTGACGGAAATTCGATTTATTTTCATCAATATTCAATGTCAATGCAACATCTTCGTGGGTAAAACCAAAAGCGTACATCAAGCATGTCACCCACCAGCAACAACAACAACTACAACAGAAACAGAAACATCAGAAAACCCAACAACAAGGGCCAGGACGGGAACAGACCGCAAGGACCTCCAAACTCTCCAATCCCATGGAAATGGACTTTGTGGCTTGAAACTTTTTGGGGGTTTTTGCTATTAAAATTTGATGTGCATGTTGTTGTCTCGTTGTCGCAGCTGCACGTGCAGCAGGCGGTGCCAGTGGACAAGCCACTGGCAGTTCCACCTGCCTAACCTACCCTGGCCAGGTGGAATTGTCGCAGTCTAGCGCAGTTTTTGGCCATTCATCTGTGGGGTTGCTTCAAAACTTGATGCGCTCTCTCTGGCTCTGGTTCTGGTTCTGGTTTGCCATTGCATATTTAAACAAATTTATTTGCAATTTAGTGTTTGCGGTTGGCTGGCATTGGCCATTGAAGCACACCCACCAAAAACTCCAACCCCAACTGAATGGTTTTATGCAATTCCGTGGCTCACTTTTAAGTGGCGCGAAAATTAATTAAAATTTTTGCCATTTATTGACAAATATGTCAATTTGATTGGCAAAGGGGAAAATGCAACACCTTCCACCATAACCGCCAAAAAGTTTTCAATTTTACTGAACATCATTTTTGGAGAATCTTTAATATAAGCCCCAGGGGCTCCTTCAATGCAAACACATACACTTCCGGAGCTTGAATGTCCAATATATACCGGTCTTCCTGCTTCCGCGCCATATCGCATCTTTTAGCAATGCAAACAGAGGCGGCAAAAACCAACAGAGTGGCGCTCGGTGAGTGGTTATTAAAGCCATATCTGTGCCAGTGGGCAAAAATGAATGCACAGCCTCAGCAGATGTGTGGGAGTGGGCTGCAAGTCCGCGATAACAGTGGCGGTGGCCATGGCGCCGAGTAAATACATAATCCACGTGAGCAGGAGCCGGTGACACGCATTGTGTTCGTGCGAGAAATGCAGTTGAAGTTATCACCGTGCAAACTCGGCACCGTTAAAATTGCAGAATAAATAAAAATGACAGATTTAGTTTAATATTGAAAAAGGATATGAAACAATGAATGGCAAAAAAAACAATCAACACTGATTTTACATTCTAGCAGAGCAAGGTTTCGATCCTCGGACCTCTGGGTTATGGGCCCAGCACGCTTCCACTGCGCCACTCTGCTTGTTGAATTCGCCGCAGCCTATAGGCTTTATTCAGATAAACAAAGTTGAAGCCAGTTAGAATCGAAACTAGGCGAATAGTTTTACTTTTATTTACAACGTTAGTGGTGCTAATACTAGGGAAAATGAATTATTAAAAAACCAATTAAAGTTAGTTTTACAGTTACTTATCGAATGTTGACTTATTTCCATACTAACAACAAGCAGAGTGGCGCAGTGGAAGCGTGCTGGGCCCATAACCCAGAGGTCCGAGGATCGAAACCTTGCTCTGCTAGAGTGTAATTCAAGGTGTTGATTTTTTTGCTTTTCCTGACGTTAAATTCCTGAGAATCGTTTCTTTTTGTAACCTTTTATATATATTTAAAAATATAATAAATCGAAAAATGAGATTAATTTTATGAATCCTTGCAAGATTTTTTAAGAAAAAACATGGCAAAAAAAGTTTCCCATACCGGGAATCGAACCCGGGCCTTCTGGGTGAAAGCCAGATATCCTAGCCACTAGACCATATGGGACACTTTTTAACGTTGGTCTAATGTCAGTTTTCTGACTCGTCTTGATAACCCAACGAAATCTTAAATGATTGTGTTTTCAAGACTATGATTCACGGCATGCATCACTAGCGTTAATAATTATATAGAATTATATAATATTAGCTTACATTTTTCAATAAGGAATGAATCATTTGAACACTAAAAATGTAGCTTTTCAAGTTTGTTCGGACTAAAAGCTTGCATAGTAAGGAACAAATAAATTATCTTTCAAATAACGTAAAAATAAATAAGAAAATATAGAAGCCGTATAACATAAAAACAAAAAATTACACTTGAAGTTGTTATTATTCAACTTTCCCATACCGGGAATTGAACCCGGGCCTCCCGGGTGAGAGCCGGGTATCCTAACCACTAGACAATATGGGAGGTGTTTGCCTGACTGACAAAAAACATTGTTCAGTGAGTAACCGGCCATTTATAGGGTATATTCCAAAGAAATTTAATTTTTATAATAATAAAATATCGTATATAGCCTATGTTGTATTTTACACAATACTTCTTATGGAACTCGAAGAATGACTACATCTGATATTTTTCTTAGAGGACAAAAAAATATATAATACACAAATTGAATCCAAATATATGTAGTTAGTTAATATTTTACGTTCAACATTTAATTTTAATTATAAAAAAAAACAACTCCGATTTGAGTTTCCCATACCGGGAATTGAACCCGGGCCTCCCGGGTGAGAGCCGGGTATCCTAACCACTAGACAATATGGGAGGTGTTTGCCGGGCTGACAAAAAGTACTGTTCAATGAGTCATCGGCGATTTATGAGGTATCCAAAGCAATTTAATTTTTTATTAATAAGAGATCGTATATAGTCTATGTT